CAGACACACACAGACACACGCACACAGACACACACAGACACACGCACACAGACACACACACAGACACACACACAGACAACAACAACAACAACAACAACCGCCATTCGCCACTAAGTGGCGGTGACGTCACCACGACGCTTGTGCCAGGCTATGTGCACCCTGAGGCCACGTGAAGTGTCGAACGCCCGCTGGCAGGAGGTCACGGGGCAGACCCAGGTGCCACGGGTCGACTGACTGAGATGACTGGCTGATGCACCACCTGTGCCCCCTACTGTGCCAACCTGCTGTGCTTTAGCCACCCGGCGCTCCGCTCGCTGTTGTGAGCGTCGCTCCTCCGCCCTCCGTTGTTGTTGGAGGGCGACTGCCTCCAACTGCCCAGTAGCATCCTTCACGAGCCTCAGACACACACACACAGACACACACAGACACACACACACAGACACACGCACAGACACACACACACACTCACAGACACACACACAGACACACACACAGACACACACACACACTCACAGACACACACACAGACACACACACAGACACACACACAGACACACAGACAGACACACAGACACACACAGACACACAGACACATACACACAGACACACACACAGACACACACACACAGACACACACACACAGACACACACAGACACACACACAGACACACACAGACACACACACACAGACACACACACACAGAGTCTTCTCTGCATTGAGCCGGCTCCGTGGGAATGTCGCCGTTTCCGTTATCATGCGCGACACAGAGAGGAGAATGGGGGGGGGCTTGCTGGTGCCCCCCCCCCCACTCTGCTGTCCGCACGATGCCCGTCTCCGCTCGAGCCTTCACCTTGGGAGGGCGAGCGAGTGGGGGGGGGGGGGTGTCCCCCCGCAGCGGTTCAGGGGGGGGGGGGTTGTGTCTCACTCCCTCCGCTCGGTTTTTATTCGCCAGCCCAAATCAGTTCTCACGGACTGCACACTCCGTGGTCCCAGAAGGTTGGGGAGGGGGGGGTTGGCGGGTGTCGAAGGGGGGCGGGGGGATATAGTGATCGCAGTCTCGGGGTTGTCAAGGCACGGCGGTCGGGGGGGGGGGGCTGTGGATATGAGCGGCCAGGGAGGGGGCAGTCGAGCTGGGGAAAGGGGGGGGGGGATGGTGGGGATATAAGCTGCCTGGTATGCAAAGCGGGCGTGCGATAGGGATCTGCTTGTCATTATGCTCTCATTTTCATGTCTATTTCCTTAATGAAGAAAGCCCGGATCAGACTTGGCCTCGCCGGGTCTGTGCGGGCCGATAACTCTCTCTCTCTCTCTCTGTGCCTCTCCCTCTCTCGCCCGTTAATCCGCGGCAATTACTACGCCCGCGGGCAATCAGGCCTGCTCCACCAGCACCAGCACCTCCACCACCAGGCACGGTGACCCCACCATGCACGGTGATACAAACGGGCAACTGCGTGCCTACAGAGACGGGGCGAGAGGGCGGGAGAGACAGCGAGGGAGAGACAGAGAGAGAGAAATGGCATTGCCTCCGCCGCCCTGCATGTTATTCCCACTTTGGGAATGCGTCTATCCGCGGGATGGAGATGATCGGGGTGGGGTGGGGGTGTGAGTCAAGTTCTTAGATTTATTTATCCTTGCTGCTGATGCCGCGACTGGCGTTTTCATCTCCACTTTATTCCACCTCGGATTATGCAAAGCAGATTAACTCGGCCCAAAAAAAATGAAAGAGAGAGAGTGATGGAATGGAAATTGCCATCTTGAGGAGGAGGAAGAATCGGTGAGCGGCGCCGGGAGGGGCCGCGGAGGCCCCCCGAGGTTCGTCCGTCCGTGATCTCCGTCTCTCACTCGAGACGGACGGAGACGCGGGGACACGTGGGGACATGGAGACCCACAGGGGGGGCGGAGGGGGTGTGGAGCGACACACGGAGACACCCGGCCCATAGGAACCCCGTCTCTCATGGGAGTCTAGCGACGCGACATTCCCACCCACAGGGAACGCTCATCATCATCCCCATCATCACCGCCCTCATCATCATCATCACCACCCCCATCATCCCCATCATCAGCGCCCCCATCACTGCCGTCATTGTGCCTTCGCTCGGGGCAGCAGTGGCGAGAGTGGAGCCGATGAAAACTCGTGAATGCGCGAGACAATGGGCAGCCCCGGGGGGGCATCTAGCGCGCCCAGCCCGGGCACAATGACTCCCCAATGAAGTGTCCACATCCGGAGGAGAGGGGGGAGGAGGAGATGGGGGAGCCACTCCCCCACATGAGGAGGGCTGCACTGAAAACATCCGTGGCGCGGGATGGAGGCAGGGGCAGCGGCAGCAGCCTGCCCTGTCTGAGACGAGACACTGCTGGGCAATACACAGCGATGCGTGAACAAATTCACACACAAAGACAAAGATTCCCCGTATAGCCTGGAAAGACTGTTGGGGCAAGTGCTGTTAGAGAGCACCTATGAAAGCCGGCATGGCACACGAGGGGGTGGGTGGCCAGCACCACGCCCGACCGCCTTTGTCTCCCCAGTAGCGATGTTTATACACCGCACCAAGTACTCATTTGAGGCTGGGTGGACCTAGGGAAGGCCCAGGACCGGTTCAGATAATCGTCACCGGTGTTGGCCGTGAGCGAGAATCGAACTCGGGTCACCGGGTTCGTAGCGCAGCGTAGCGCAAACCGTTACACTACCACTCCCCACACACACACGTCACCGCCACTAAGTGGCGGAGACGTCACCACGACGCTTGTGCCAGGCCATGTGCACCTTGAGGCCACGTGAAGTGTCGAACGCCCGGGGGCAGAAGGTCACGGGGCAGACCCAAGTACCACGGGTCGACTGACTGAGATGGCTGAGATGACTGGCTGATGCACCACCTGTGCCCCCTACTGTGCCAACTTGCTGTGCCTTAGCCGCCCGGCGCTCCGCTCGTTGTTGTGAACGTCGCTCCCCTGCGCTCCGTTGTTGCTGGAGGGCGACTGCCTCCAACTCCTCCGCAGCATCCTCCACGAACCTCCTCCACAGAGGCCGATCTTGACACAGCTGGTACCAGTCATCGGCAAGTCCACTCAGCTCCACATCCTCCTGTACCACATCACTCCATCTCTTCTTTAGCTTGTGCTGCGCCCGTTTAGCCCCCTCCATCCGGCCAAACACACACGACACACACACACACACAACACACACACCACACACACAACACACACACCACACACACCACACACAACACACGCCACACACACGACACACACACCACACACACAACACACACCACACACAACACACACATCACACACCACACACAACACACACACCACACACACAACACACACACACAACACACATCACACATCACACACAACACACACAACACACACAACACACACCACACACACATCACACACCACACACAACACACACCACACACACAACACACACCACACACACATCACACACAACACACACATCACACACAACACGCACAACACACACATCACACACACATCACACACACCACACTCACACACACACATCACACACACATCACACACACATCACACACACCACACACACCACACACACACAACACACACAGGTGCATTTTGTTAAGATAATCGCGCGTATAGGAAGGGGACGTAGTGGTATTTGGTCTTTCTTGCCGTGTGGTTGGTGGTGGTGCCGTGCGGTTGGTGGTGGTGCAGTGTGGTTGGTGGTGGTGCAGTGTGGTTGGTGATGGTGCAGTGTGGTTGGTGGTGGTGCAGTGTAGTTGATCGTGGTGGTGGTGCAGTGTGGTTGATCGTGGTGGTGGTGGTGCAGTGTGGTTGATCGTGGTGGTGGGTGGTGGTGGTGTAGTATGATTGTGGTGGTGGTGTAGTATCATTGTGGTGGTGTAATATGATTGTGGTGGTGGTGTAGTATGATCGTGGTGGTGGTGTAGTATGATTGTGGTGGTGGTGTAGTATGATTGTGGTGGTGGTGTAGTATGATTGTGGTGGTGATGTAGTATGATTGTGGTGGTGGTGTAGTGTGGTTGATCGTGGTGGTGGATGATTGTGGAGTGGTGGTATCATAACGGGGTGAGGACAGGGCTCATGCGCTCAGACGGTCGTGTGTCGTAGGCGGTGAGGGCGATTCTTTTACCAATTTATTGATTTGGCGGTGGTGGAAGTGGTGGTGGGGGTGTTGATGAGGGGTGCTCTCTCGTTGACTCCCCGGTGGATGAGCTGACACGACACCGTTCAGCGCGTCGGTACAACGCTTGTGCACATGGCCATCCAAGTGTTTGGCTGTGCTGGGTGGTGCTGGGTTTCTAATCGCAGTGATCACGTGGCATAAACATGTGACTTGCTTGTGACGTCACTGGGGAGGGGGGGGGCTTAGCGGCACGTGCTTCCTGTTAAGGTACAGCACATACAGTAGATATAGAGTAGAGAGCGGCGGCTGCTATTGTGGAAGTTGTCGGCTTTGCTCCCGAAGTTGTTTAAACAAGATTTACATGGACTAATAAAGCTTCGTTTACCGTTATTTATCGATGCGAGACCACATCTTGAGTGTAAATCACCCTGAGCTGCTTAATTAGTGAGGTGCTGAGGGAGAAAGTGAATTAGACACCAATTCACATCAAGCGTGAGACATCGTCTTGGCGGCTTAATCATGTTCAGTGGTTGTGGTGGTGGTGCTCTTTGTGGTTGTGTTAGTGGTTGTGATGGCGATGTCAATGATGTTGATGATGATGGGGATGTTGGCGGTGATGGTCATGTCGTCGTCGATGAATTTATCTCGATGCTGGTGATGTCGGTAATGTTTACGTTGATGGTGGTGATGTCGGTGACGATGATGGCGGGGATGTCGGTGACGTTGATGTCGGTCATGTTTACGTTGATGATGCCTGTGATGTCGGTGACGTTGAGGATGTCGGTGAGGTTTATTTTGATGGCGGTGATGTCGGTGACGTTGATGATGGCGGTGATGTCGGTGATGTTCGTGGTGACGTTGCTGCAGGCTGCGTGGGGGAGGAGGATGACGACGGCTCTCTGGCGGAAGTCCCTGACCTGGGGGGCACGGAGGGGGACACGGGGGGCACGGAGGGGGACACGGACACCGACGATCGCGACCCCTGCTCCTCCGACCCCGACGACGATCGAGCCCCGCCCAGCAGCGCCGCCGACTCACCAGGTGAGAGAAGGGGCGGAGAGGTGAGGGCTGCGAAAGAGGGGGGGGGGGGTAGTGTGGCAGGTGAGAGGGTGTGGCAGTGTAACAGGTGAGAGGGTGTTGCAGTGTGGCAGGTGAGAGGGTGTTGCAGTGTAACAGGTGAGAGGGTGTTGCAGTGTAACAGGTGAGAGGGTGTTGCAGTGTAGCAGGTGAGAGGATGTTGCAGTGTGGCAGGTGAGAGGGTGTTGCAGTGTAACAGGTGAGAGGGTGTTGCAGTGTAACAGGTGAGAGGGTGTTGCAGTGTAACAGGTGAGAGGGTGTTGCAGTGTAGCAGGTGAGAGGGTGTTGCAGTGTAACAGGTGAGAGGGTGTTGCAGTGTAGCAGGTGAGAGGGTGTTGCAGTGTAGCAGGTGAGAGGGTGTTGCAGTGTAGCAGGTGAGAGGGTGTTGCAGTGTAACAGGTGAGAGGGTGTTGCAGTGTAACAGGTGAGAGGATGTTGCAGTGCGGCAGGTGAGAGGGTGTTGCAGTGTGGCAGGTGAGAGGGTGTTGCAGTGTAACAGGTGAGAGGGTGTTGCAGTGTAACAGGTGAGAGGGTGTTGCAGTGTAACAGGTGAGAGGGTGTTGCAGTGTAACAGGTGAGAGGGTGTTGCAGTGTAACAGGTGAGAGGGTGTTGCAGTGTAGCAGGTGAGAGGGTGTTGCAGTGTGGCAGGTGAGAGGGTGTTGCAGTGTAACAGGTGAGAGGGTGTTGCAGTGTAACAGGTGAGAGGGTGTTGCAGTGTAGCAGGTGAGAGGGTGTTGCAGTGTAACAGGTGAGAGGGTGTTGCAGTGTAACAGGTGAGAGGGTGTTGCAGTGTAACAGGTGAGAGGGTGTTGCAGTGTAGCAGGTGAGAGGGTGTTGCAGTGTGGCAGGTGAGAGGGTGTTGCAGTGTAACAGGTGAGAGGGTGTTGCAGTGTAACAGGTGAGAGGGTGTTGCAGTGTAGCAGGTGAGAGGATGTTGCAGTGTGGCAGGTGAGAGGGTGTTGCAGTGTAACAGGTGAGAGGGTGTTGCAGTGTAACAGGTGAGAGGGTGTTGCAGTGTAACAGGTGAGAGGGTGTTGCAGTGTAGCAGGTGAGAGGGTGTTGCAGTGTAGCAGGTGAGAGGGTGTTGCAGTGTAACAGGTGAGAGGGTGTTGCAGTGTAGCAGGTGAGAGGGTGTTGCAGTGTAGCAGGTGAGAGGGTGTTGCAGTGTAGCAGGTGAGAGGGTGTTGCAGTGTAACAGGTGAGAGGGTGTTGCAGTGTAACAGGTGAGAGGGTGTTGCAGTGTAGGCAGGTGAGAGGGTGTTGCAGTGTAGCAGGTGAGAGGGTGTTGCAGTGTAGCAGGTGAGAGGGTGTTGCAGTGTAACAGGTGAGAGGGTGTTGCAGTGTAGCAGGTGAGAGGGTGTTGCAGTGTAACAGGTGAGAGGGTGTTGCAGTGTAACAGGTGAGAGGGTGTTGCAGTGTAACAGGTGAGAGGGTGTTGCAGTGTAACAGGTGAGAGGGTGTTGCAGTGTAGCAGGTGAGAGGGTGTTGCAGTGTAACAGGTGAGAGGGTGTTGCAGTGTAGCAGGTGAGAGGGTGTTGCAGTGTAGCAGGTGAGAGGGTGTTGCAGTGTAACAGGTGAGAGGGTGTTGCAGTGTAGGCAGGTGAGAGGGTGTTGCAGTGTAGCAGGTGAGAGGGTGTTGCAGTGTAACAGGTGAGAGGGTGTTGCAGTGTAACAGGTGAGAGGGTGTTGCAGTGTGCAGGTGAGAGGGTGTTGCAGTGTAACAGGTGAGAGGGTGTTGCAGTGTAACAGGTGAGAGGGTGTTGCAGTGTAACAGGTGAGAGGGTGTTGCAGTGTAGCAGGTGAGAGGGTGTTGCAGTGTAGCAGGTGAGAGGGTGTTGCAGTGTAACAGGTGAGAGGGTGTTGCAGTGTAGCAGGTGAGAGGGTGTTGCAGTGTAACAGGTGAGAGGGTGTTGCAGTGTAACAGGTGAGAGGGTGTTGCAGTGTAACAGGTGAGAGGGTGTTGCAGTGTAACAGGTGAGAGGGTGTTGCAGTGTGGCAGGTGAGAGGGTGTTGCAGTGTAACAGGTGAGAGGGTGTTGCAGTGTGGCAGGTGAGAGGGTGTTGCAGTGTAACAGGTGAGAGGGTGTTGCAGTGTAACAGGGTGAGAGGGTGTTGCAGTGTAACAGGTGAGAGGGTGTTGCAGTGTAACAGGTGAGAGGGTGTTGCAGTGTGGCAGGTGAGAGGGTGTTGCAGTGTAACAGGTGAGAGGGTGTTGCAGTGTAACAGGTGAGAGGGTGTTGCAGTGTAGCAGGTGAGAGGGTGTTGCAGTGTAGCAGGTGAGAGGGTGTTGCAGTGTAACAGGTGAGAGGGTGTTGCAGTGTAGCAGGTGAGAGGGTGTTGCAGTGTAGCAGGTGAGAGGGTGTTGCAGTGTAACAGGTGAGAGGGTGTTGCAGTGTAGCAGGTGAGAGGGTGTTGCAGTGTAACAGGTGAGAGGGTGTTGCAGTGTAACAGGTGAGAGGGTGTTGCAGTGTAACAGGTGAGAGGGTGTTGCAGTGTAGCAGGTGAGAGGGTGTTGCAGTGTAGCAGGTGAGAGGGTGTTGCAGTGTAACAGGTGAGAGGGTGTTGCAGTGTGGCAGGTGAGAGGGTGTTGCAGTGTAGCAGGTGAGAGGGTGTTGCAGTGTAGCAGGTGAGAGGGTGTTGCAGTGTAACAGGTGAGAGGGTGTTGCAGTGTAGCAGGTGAGGAGGGTGTTGCAGTGTAGCAGGTGAGAGGGTGTTGCAGTGTAGCAGGTGAGAGGGTGTTGCAGTGTAACAGGTGAGAGGGTGTTGCAGTGTAGCAGGTGAGAGGGTGTTGCAGTGTAACAGGTGAGAGGGTGTTGCAGTGTAGCAGGTGAGAGGGTGTTGCAGTGTAACAGGTGAGAGGGTGTTGCAGTGTAACAGGTGAGAGGGTGTTGCAGTGTAACAGGTGAGAGGGTGTTGCAGTGTAACAGGTGAGAGGGTGTTGCAGTGTAACAGGTGAGAGGGTGTTGCAGTGTAGCAGGTGAGAGGGTGTTGCAGTGTAACAGGTGAGAGGGTGTTGCAGTGTAACAGGTGAGAGGGTGTTGCAGTGTAACAGGTGAGAGGGTGTTGCAGTGTGGCAGGTGAGAGGGTGTTGCAGTGTAGCAGGTGAGAGGGTGTTGCAGTGTAACAGGTGAGAGGGTGTTGCAGTGTAGCAGGTGAGAGGGTGTTGCAGTGTAACAGGTGAGAGGGTGTTGCAGTGTAGCAGGTGAGAGGGTGTTGCAGTGTAACAGGTGAGAGGGTGTTGCAGTGTAACAGGTGAGAGGGTGTTGCAGTGTAACAGGTGAGAGGGTGTTGCAGTGTAACAGGTGAGAGGGTGTTGCAGTGTAACAGGTGAGAGGGTGTTGCAGTGTAGCAGGTGAGAGGGTGTTGCAGTGTAGCAGGTGAGAGGGTGTTGCAGTGTAGCAGGTGAGAGGGTGTTGCAGTGTAGCAGGTGAGAGGGTGTTGCAGTGTAACAGGTGAGAGGGTGTTGCAGTGTAGCAGGTGAGAGGGTGTTGCAGTGTAACAGGTGAGAGGGTGTTGCAGTGTAGCAGGGGAGAGGGTGTTGCAGTGTAACAGGTGGTTGCAGTGTAACAGGTGAGAGGGTGTTGCAGTGTAACAGGTGAGAGGGTGTTGCAGTGTAGCAGGTGAGAGGGTGTTGCAGTGTAACAGGTGAGAGGGTGTTGCAGTGTAACAGGTGAGAGGGTGTTATTGATTGCGATGCAGCAGAGTGGCCGTGTCGCGCGGGCCTCGGGCCGCGTGCACGAGGACGAGGAGGAGGGGGAGGAGGAGGGGGAGGGGGCGGCTGGGAGCCGGTGGGCGGTGGGCAGCGGCGCCAGCAGGAGGCTGGAGCTCAGCCACAGGTGCAGACACAAGGTTCTGTGTCGCCCCACTCCGCACGGCATTCCGTCTATCTGATGAAACCCGCCGGCCGAAACATCACCTAATTAATATATTCCTCCCCCTCGTCTGATACCCAACTCGCCTCTCGGTAACTGATACGGCAGCCCCAGCAGTGGAGCGGTCGCTTGGTCGAAAGCCGCTTTGTGCGGTCCCATCGCCGGGTCGGGTCGCCGAGAGGTCACCCATTTGACCCTGTGTGTCGTGGGTGGTCTTTGGCGGCCCCGGAACCCTGCACGATCCGGTCGCTTTGCCAACTCCGAAAGCTGCCGCGCAAATTACCCTGGCGTCCTGCCGATTGGACGTGGGTCCCCGTTCGACGCAAACCCTTGTGATGCATCGTTCGCTGTGGAGAATACGACTCCTGTTGTCCGCAACGACTCGCACAGAGACCCCTTAGCCGACGTGTTGAGTTGACCAATGGGGCTTGTGCGCCACTGCCAACCCCAGCAGCGTCGACAGATAGTTTATTTTATTTCAGAGACCCCCCCCCCCGCCGCTCCCGTTTAAACTAGAGCTCTCGGACGAGGATTAATTTCCCACTGAATATTTTCCGGGTCGCTGGGAGCGCCGGAGTCACGTGACCAGAAGCATCCACCGCCACGGCCTCCTGTCTTGCCGTGCCACCGCCGAGAGAGGCGGGCACCCTAAGCGGCGGGCGCGTGGCTCCGGTGCCGCCGGCAGCGCCGTGCCCCTTGCTGGCGGAGACGGGCGGAGCCTCCGGTGTCCGTGCCCTCAGATCGACGGCGGTTGATCGGCGCATCGCCGATCGCGGCCAAACGGGGCGCCCGCGACTTGGGCGCCGAGCGTGCGATGACTCGTTGGGTTCGCGTCAATCACTTGCGCCAGTCGGACGTTCAGGCGTGGGTCGGGGAAGTGAGACGCGACGCACACGAGGCAGGCAAATGCCAGACCGAGAGAAGGGGTTTTTGGAATCGTGGGGATGAATCGGATTTTGCGGGACAAGGGTGGCTCCCAGCATGCGCACTTTGGCCACTCGGGCAACGCGACGATCGCTGCGATTGTCTCGAGACTAACGCGAGCATCGCACGCGCACGCACAGACAAACACGCACCCGCACAACAACAACCGCGCTTTGCCACTAGGTGGTTGTGCCGTCAGCATGCAGCTTTTACCAGGCAAGATGCACCTTGAGACCCCGTGAAGTGCGGAAGGCTCGCTGACAGGAGACCACGGGACAGACCCAGATGTTACGGGTTCACCGACTGAGATGACTGTCAGATGGACCACACGTGCTTCCCACTGTGCCGACTTGCAGAATGTTTTAGCCACCCGGTGCTCTGCTCGTTGTTGTGAGCGTCCTTCCTCTGCCCTCCATTGTTGTTGGAAGACGACTGCCTCCAACTGACCAGTTGCGTCCTTCACGAGCCTCCTCCAGAGACCGACCTTTACACCCGCTGTCTTTGGCAAGTCCGCTCAGCTCCACATCCTCCTGTACCACATCTCTTCTCTATCCTGTGCCACGCCTATTTAGCCCCCTCTATCCGGCCAAACAGAAGCTGCTTCATCATGCGGTGGCTGCACATGCAGATTATATGACCCATCCAACACAGCCACCATGCCTGGTGGAGGAGCTCACCGATGGGACTGTGTTCAGAGCTTTCAAGAATTTGTAAGCTCCTGGCTCCTCGTAAAGCCCAGGAGGGATTGCAGACAGGCCAGACTTAATGTTTACAATCAGGGGAGATGCACTTTCAGAGGGGTCCAGGTTTCTCAAGCATACAGAAGGGGGGGCATGACTGTGACTGAGAAGACCCAGAGCTTCGTATGGAGCGATAGGTCAGGTAGCGTCTACACAGGGTTGCATCCACACAATGAACCCCTGTATAGCCTGGAACATACTGTTGGGGAAAGTGCTGTTAGCGAGCACATATGTAGGCCAGAACAGCACACGAGGGGGTGGGTAACCAGCACCACCCCCGGCTGCCTTTGTCTCCCCAGTGTCAATGTTGACGCACCGCACCAGGTCCTCATATTAGGCCGAGTCGACCTAGGGCAGGCCCAGGACCGGTTCAGAAAATCGTCACTGATTTTGGCCGTGAGCGGGAATGAAACTCGGGCCGCCAGGTTCATAGCGCAGCGTAGCGCTGACCGCTACACCACCGCTCCCCACACACACACACGTACACACACACACACAACCACGTGTACACAACACACACAGACCTACACACACACACAACCACGTATACACACACACGCGCGCACGCAGGTGCGTACAAGAGACACGCATCTTTATATTTGCACGGGGAGAGGATGCGGGCGCGTGAGGCTATTCATGAAGGGTGACCGCAGGGCAGGGGGGGGTGGGGGCGCTACTCGCCGGCCCCCCGCCAAGGGGCGGAACAAAAGCAAAGCCGTCACCGCCACCGTTGATCCCACGGCCGGGGAAATTCATCTTTCCCCCCTCCTCCACCCCACCCCCGGCCTTGTTCCCCGGCCGCGACGCGCATCGGGCGGCCGGGCCGCCCCGGAGCCCCGCCGAGGCTTTGGTCGGCCGGACGTGGCGCGGGGTCACGGCTCTGTTGTCGGGACATTCAACGCGGTGCGCTTTCTGCCAGCAGCGGCGAGTTGAGCGATTGCAGGGCCGCATATTATAACCCGCGGGAGCCGCCGCGGGTGAATTGGCAGACTCGGTTTCCACCAGTTCAGCCTCCGATCGTCTCCCTTTACCCTTACGGTGCTGTTCATTGCTGGCCTGCGCTCGGTAATTAACAAAAAACCTTTCTTAAAGGCCCTCCCCCCACCTCTGTGCACCCAGCGGGACAGCACAGTCTATCTGCAGGTCACGTGCAGTAGGGTAACGTGTGGGTACTGCCACCTCTGCCAAGACGTGCTGGCCTGCACGTGGAAATGCCATCGCCGTATCAGCCTATGGATCAACTTGTTGTTATTAATCTGCTTGTTTACCTAGAATAGTTTCACCGAGTCTCAGGACTCGTTTTGAAGAGGGTCCTTCTAAGTTTGCACAGTCGGGGAGGAGGGCGGGGGGGGGGGGGCATTGTTGCTATGCAGATTCCCCACGCAGTCCTTTGCAGGTTTGGCCAATACCGGAAAACATTGCCTGGCAGAGCGCGACGCCGCGTCGCCACGGACGATGGCAAAGCGGCCCGGGAGGTGCCACGGGCCGGTACCGCTCTGCTCCTCTCCCGTCAGCAGCTTGGCCCCTGCCGCTCCATTCCTACTCCCCCGCCCCCTCCTCCCCGACCAGCTTCTCCACCCTGTCCGATGGGATGGGCCGCGATCAGCGGTTTTCTGACGAGGGTTCATCGTACGCGCTAGCTTAAGTACGACTCTTGCGGCGTTTCTCTCCCCCGTTTTGCGAAGGAAAACCGGGAGGGCCTCGTTAACCCCGTGACGTCACGGCCCGGCCGTGAGGCCCCGCTGTAGGCCGACCGTGAGGCCCCGCTGTAGGCCGGCCATGAGGCCCCGCTGTAGGCCCGGCCGTGAGGCCCCGCTGTAGGCCGACCGTGAGGCCTCGCTGTAGGCCGGCCATGAGGCCCCGCTGTAGGCCCGGCCGTGAGGCCCCGCTGTAGGCCCGGACGTGAGGCCCCACTGTAGGCCCGGCCGTGAGGCCCCACTGTAGCCCGGCCGTGAGGCCCCACTGTAGGCCGGCCGTGAGGCCCCGCTGTAGCCCGGCCGTGAGGCCCCACTGTAGGCCGGCCATGAGGCCCCGCTGTAGGCCCGGCCGTGACGCCCCGCTGTAGCCCGGCCGTGAGGCCCCGCTGTAGGCCCGGATGGCACCCGTCCCAGAGCGAGCCCCGCGGCCCGATCGGCGGCGGCTCGTCCCTGTACTGCGCCCCCCCATCGCGGCTTACTTTCCAGCGGCCATGGGAACGCGGCGCTAATTACTCTGGGGGGACCAACGAGAAGAGGAGACGTGGGAACGAGGGGGGGCGGGGGGGAGTGTTTGGGGCGAGCGCCCGGGAGAGGGGGGGCGGTGAGGGGTGGCTCCCCGGCCCCCCCGTGCCCTGTGTGCCCCGATAGCTGCAGCGCGCCTTGAGGTTGCGATAAGATTAGCGCAGCCCTGGCGCCTCGAGATGAAACAACCAGAAGACAGTTTCAGTGGAAAGAATTACTTCTCCAGCACCGTGTTCCCACCCTCTTCCCCCCACCCCCCCCTTGCTCATCCCTCCCCCCGCCTCACCCCCTCATCTCCCCCCCCCCCATCTCATCCTCAAACCCCGATAAGCCCTGGTGCTCTCGAGAGCTCTGTCTCTGTGCCGCTGCAGTTCACTATTTGCCGGTGTTTGTCTCGGGGTTAGCTTGCTGCTGCTGCTGCAGCTGCCGACGCGACTGCCGATGCTACGACTGCTGCTGCCACGGCTGCTGATGCTCTGATGCTGCTGACAATAATGAGCCTGCTGCTGCTGTTGTTGCTGCTGTCACTGCTGCTGATGCTGCCACTGTTTGTCTCTGACCGTGACGGTGTGCGGTGGTTAACCAGGAACGCGTCCTTTTTTTACGTACTCAGAAGAGGCTGATTTCCCCTTCTCACTAGTGGGGCCTAGTTAGGCACCGTCAGCTCCTCTTGGACGGCCACCACGGGCCCCCATGATCTATTGTAAAAGGAGCAAATTTTTTTCGTGCACTCGAATAGCTGAATACTACACACGCACTCACCTTATACACCTTATACTACCAGGCGAGGGCCCGTGGCTGCCCGGGGGAATCTCGCCGAGCCTCAGGACTCATTCGCAGGAGGGATCCTGCGTCAGGATGTCTGACCACTTCCCTTGCAGCGGGTAACTCGAGTAAAGCCAAGATCGCGCCGGGATAGCGTGGCCCTGCGTGCAAGTCCATGATCCCTGTAGCTTTATTACTGCCTCCGTGAGCAAACTACCGCGCCCCTCGCCCACCCCACCCCATGGGTGAATGGGGAAGTCTTTGCTGGTTATTGCCACGTCAGTCGGGGCTGATGATTCAATCCCTTCCAGTGAAGTGTCGCAGTTCGTCGGTGGCGGTGTTGTATTGTTTGTCGCAGCTTGGTGATGGTAACAACATTGGTGCTTGGTGGTGATGGTGGTGATGATGGTGGTGGTGTTGGTTATGACGATGGTTGTGACGACGATGATGATGATGATGATGTTGACCCCTTTCTGTGCCACCACCCCCCCCCCCCCAGTTGCGGTCGATGCTGGGAGGCGGTCACCTTCGGAAGACGAGCGTGACCAGGAGTCACCACGTCCACAGCGGTGGGCACTACCGGGTGAGCGTGACCTCGACCTCGCCCCTCACTCACCCACACACAACAAAGACAAAGATCCCCCCTATAGCCTTAACAGACTGTTGGGGTAAGTGCTGTTAGCGAGCACCTATGAAGGCCGGCACGGTACTCAAGGGTGTGGGTGGCCAGCACCACGCCCGGCCGCTTTTGTCTTCCTAGTGATGATGTTTACATGCCGCACCAGGTACTCATTGAGGCTGAGTCGACCAAGGAGAGGCCCAGGACCGGTTCAGATAATTGTCACCGGTGTTGGCCGTGAGCAGGAATCGAACTCGAGTCGCCGGGTTCGTAGCGCAGCGTAGCGCTGACCGCTGCTACACTACCACTCCTCACTTTACTCGTTCACAGACACACACACTGACATACGCACTGACACACACACTGAGACACGCACAGACACACGCACTGACCACACACTGACACACGCACTGAGACACACACTGAGACACACTGACACACACACTGAGACACACACACTGACACACACTGACACACACACTGACACACACGCACAGACACGCACTGACATACGCACTGACACACACACTGAGACACGCACAGACACACGCACTGACCACACACTGACACACGCACTGAGACACACACTGAGACACACTGACACACACACTGAGACACACACACTGACACACACTGACACACACACTGACACACACGCACAGACATGCACTGACACACACACTGACACACACACTGACACATGCACTGAGACACGCACAGACACACGCACTGACACACACACTGACACATGCACTGACACACACACTGACACACACAGTGAGACACTATGCTATTGTTGCGTATGATTGCAATGTGTTCAAGATCTTAATACCAATGTGGAGGACTGCTCGCCAGGAGAGGGCTTCAGGAGAGAGCCGGTGGGTGTGGCTTTGCTGTTCCTCCTCGTTGAATGAGTGCAGGTTCCAGTGGTTTACTATCTGGTCAATAGTTCGGGTTGCATGGCCACACTCAGCACTGTGGCTTCTCTTTAATGTTCTTACATTTTCATTCACGAAAAAGTTGTGCCCATCGGCCTGTTGATGTTCTGACCCACACACTGATACACTCACTGACACACTGGCACACACACCGATAGTTAGTGTGTGAAAGCGGGCGCGTGCGCGCGCGTGCGGGCGTCGTTGGGTGTGAGCGTGCGAGCGCGTTGGTCAGCGAGCCGGTGAGCGTGCGTGACTGTAGGCGTGCGGTTGTGCGTGACCCTGCGTGCGTGAGTGCGTACATCAAGATCGGGCGAGCTCAGCAGCCGCGATGGCCGTTGCACCGGGCCGCAGGCCTCTCGTGTGGTCACGCAGGGCAGCGCGCGCACGGAAACGAGATCTCGGGTCGCGATTCGGCGCCAACCACCGGCGTCCTGCACAGTGACACAGCGCAGAGAGTGACACAGCACAGAGAGTGACACAGCACAGAGTGACACAGCACAGAGAGTGACACAGCACAGAGAGTGACACAGCACAGAGAATGACACAGCACAGAGAGTGGCACAGCACAGAGTGACACAGCACAGAGAGTGACACAGCACAGAGAGTGACACAGCACAGAGAATGACACAGCACAGAGAGTGGCACAGCACAGAGTGACACAGCACAGAGTGACACAGCACAGAGAGTGACACAGAGAGTGACACAGCACAGAGAGTGACACAGCACAGAGAGTGACACAGCACAGAGAGTGACACAGCACAGAGAATGACACAGCACAGAGAGTGACACAGCACAGAGTGACACAGCACAGAGTGACACAGCACAGAGAGTGACACAGAGAGTGACACAGCACAGAGAGTGACACAGCACAGAGAGTGACACAGCACAGAGAGTGACACAGCACAGAGTGACACAGCACAGAGTGACACAGCACAGAGAGTGACACAGAGAGTGACACAGCACAGAGAGTGACACAGCACAGAGAGTGATACAGCACAGAGTGATACAGCACAGAGTGATACAGCACAGAGTGACACAGCACAGAGTGACACAGCACAGAGAGTGACACAGCACAGAGAGTGGCACAGGAGAGTGACACAGCACAGAGAGTTACACAGCACAGAGAGTGACACAGAGAGTGACACAGCACAGAGAGTGACACAGCACAGAAAGTGACACAGAGAGTGACACAGCACAGAAAGTGACACAGCACAGTGACACAGCACAGAGAGTGGCACAGCACAGAGAGTGACACAGCACAGAGAGTGACAGAGAGTGGCACAGCACAGAGAGTGACACAGAGAGTGGTACAGAGAGTGGCACAGCACAGAGAGTGGCACAGAGAGTGACACAGCACAGAGAGTGGCACAGAGAGTGGCACAGAGAGTGGCACAGCACAGAGAGTGACACAGCACAGAGAGTGGCACAGAGAGTGGCACACTCGAGGGAGAGTGATACAAGTTGAGAGTGAGTGGCACGAGAGAGTGGCGCAGGAGAATAACACAGAGTGCCATGGGGGAGGGGTACGGCTGAGTGGCACAGCAGAGGGAGAGTGGCACACGAGAGAGAGAGTGGCACGGGAGAGTGGCATTGTGCCACACAGGGTGTGCACCCAGCGTTGACCTGATTGGCGGTGTTGTCAGCGCCGGACGATCACCGGTAGCAGTGATAATGGCAGTAGTGGCAGCGATGGTGGCGGTGGTGGCGGTGGTGGCAGCGATGGTGGCGGTGGTGGCGATGAAAGCTCCGGCCGAGGCTCTGACTCGGCGCCTGCTGTTTTCTTTCGTGGAATATTGCTGGGTGCCTGCGCTTTCGCCAAATATTAAGAAGTGCTGACACAGCGACAAGAAATCTGGAGAGCTCCTAATCTCTGGGGGGGGGGGGGGGGGGGGCGAGGGGGGGGGGGGGGGGGCGAGGGGGGTGGGGGGTGCTACCGGGGCGGGGGAGGGAGGGAGGGGGTGGCACGGGGGCGCCTCCTTGGCATCCTTCTGTGCTCCTCGTAGGATTCCGTCCGGAGTCACTGGGGAGCCTCGTGAACCGGTTAGTTCCACGCGTCGGGCGTCGTCAATCCGCTGCTGGATGAAGGCCTCCCCCCCCAAGGTGCCACCGCCACCTCCCACGAGCCTGCGATACAGCGGTCTACTCGACACACGAGCCGACTTCATCGCTCTGTCTCCTCGCAGGTCGTCCTCTCGGATGCGTTCCATTCCTTGCGTTCCAATCGACCGTGGTCCCTCATCATCGTCATCATCATCGTCAGCCGTGGTCATTCCACTGCTGGGTGAAGGCCTTCCTCCGCCGTATCTGTCGTGGAGCGAGCGGCTCGCAATTGGCAGGTTATGAGTTTTTAAACAATCCTGGTTGTGGGGTTGATTCATCCCATGTGTGTACGTCTCTCGCACCGTACGTAGCCAACCTTGCTAATCGGAGGTGCGTTTGGTGGGTGGATGGGTTGGTAGTGGGTGGGTGGGTTGGGAGTTGGTGGGTGGGTAGGCGGATAGGGAGTTGGTGGTGGGTAGGCGTGGGGTGGTAGGCGTGGGGTGGTAGGTGGTGGGTGGGTAGGCGTGGGGTGGTGGTTGGGTAGGCGTGGGGTGGTAGGTGGTGGGTGGGTAGGCGTGGGGTGGTAGGTGGTGGGTGGGTAGGCGTGGGGTGGTAGGTGGTGGGTGGGTAGGCGTGGGTTGGTAGGTGGTGGGTGGGTGGGTAGGCGTGGGGTGGTAGGTGGTGGGTGGGTAGGCGTGGGGTGGTAGGTGGTGGGTAGGTAGGCATGGGGTGGTAGTTGGTGGGTGGGTAGGCGTGGGGTGGTAGTTGGTGGGTGGGTAGGCGTGGGGTGGTAGGTGGTGGGTGGGTAGGCGTGGGGTGGTAGGTGGTGGGTGGGTAGGTGTGGGGTGTCAGTTGGTGGGTGGGTAGGCGTGTGGTGGTAGGTGGTGGGTGGGTAGGTGTGGGGTGGTAGTTGGTGGGTGGGTAGGCGTGGGGTGGTAGGCGTGGGGTGGTAGTTGGTGGGTGGGTAGGCGTGTGGTGGTAGTTGGTGGGTGGATAGGCATGTGGTGGTAGGTGGTGGGTGGGTAGGCGTGTGGTGGTAGGTGGTGGGTGGGTAGGCGTGTGGTGGTAGGTGGTGGGTGGGTAGGCGTGTGGTGGTGTGTGTGAAGGCAAAGAGGCGCCACTGGGAAGGGGAGCGGGCAGAGAGAGGAGCGGCGTGCGGCGCTCCGTCCGTCACGCCGCCGAGAGAACGTTCATTCGGCGTGGACAAGTCGACGTTTGTGAAACAAAATAAAACTCGCGATGTCGGGGGGGGGAGGGGTCTTGGTTTTTTTAGCGCCCCGATAAGGATCCACGGGGGGAGGGTGGGGGGGGGGCCGAGGAGGGAGATGGCGGCGGTGGCGGCGGTGCTGTTGGGGTTGCGGTCGCGTTTCCGCGTCGCTCTCTATAAACTCCAGCACGCCGCTGATTTATCGCGTTGATGTTGCGTTAGTGGTCGTATCGCCTCCCCCCCCCCCCTACAACTACCGCCCCCTTCCCCAACCGCCACCCCCTGCACCTCCTCCTCCGGCAGTCACGAGGAGGGTGCGCTGCTGGGCGCGTTGGGGGTGAGGGCGACGTTACTCCCCCCCCACCCCCCCTCACTCTGCGGTCAGCTCTGAGGTTCGCTGGGTCGGCGATGACGGTGGTGGTGGTGGCGATGGCAACGATGGTGTCGCGATGGTGGCCGCGGTGGCGTTAGTAGTGATGATTGCTGATAGTCACGCCGATGGTGAGGGCGAGGGAAATAGCGTCGCGATGATGATGGTATGGTGACGATGGTAGGGTGACCATGGTACGGTGATACGATGATGATGGTGGGGATGATATTGAGCCCTGATAACGCGACGGTGGTGGTGGCGATGATGATGTCGCGACGAGGTATCGCTTGGATAGAATCGTCACGCGTGCCGCGTGATCGTCCGCGACGAGGTGTGACGTCCCTGGCGACGAGGTGTGACGTCCCTGGCGACGAGGTGTGACGTCCCTGGCGACGAGGTGTGACGTCCC